CTCATCCARCCTGGCATTGGACACTGCCAGGGATCCAGGGGCAGCCACAGCTTCTCWGGGCACCMTGTGCCAGGGCCCCACCACCTCACAGAGAACAATTCCTTCCCTATATCTGATCTAAACTCACCCTCTCTCAGTTTATTCCCCTTTCTCCCATCACTCCAAATGCTTGTTCAAAGTCCGTCTCTGAAAAACACAAGTGAAAAGCATTCTGGCATGGGTTAATTTGGATGTGGGAATTTTCAAATATGTGAAGGAACCTCTGTTGACATGTGAAAAACCTACTGGGTGAAACTTAAAAGCTGCCTTTTTTTTTTTTTTCCCTGACAATGAAAAAAAAAAAAATTAAATATCTCACTCAGAGAGTGATTTGACAAAAAAGAATCATTCAGGATGCCCAGTTACCCAGGRTGACTTCACCAGTGTGGGCTTTGCTCCTGAGAATAAATTAGCAGATAACCAAACATACTCGCCTGGGCATTTCCACAAGCTTTGCTTTAAAGCCTTTGAAAATGGACAAGAATYGGAATAAGGGTAGACCAGAGGAAGAGAACACAGCTCTTTGCTTTGCTTGGAAATGTGGGCTACAAACTTTTTGCATCTGCTTCCACTGGTTTCTGGTTACTGGGAGTGATAAAAGTTGAACACTKGGTCTTCTCATTGCAAGAATTTATCAGAAAAATGCTTTCCTTGAAGTATTCTGTATGCAAGATATGTGCTGAGCAAAAAAAAACCCATCCCATGTCTGAATCCAAACTGGAGGGCAAAAAGAGAGAGATGGTACCAACACATCCCATGTGAGACATGACAGATCACAAGGGACAAAAATAAATAATTTTCATATAACTGCTGTGGGGGCGGAGCTCCAGTTGAGCCACCACCCTTTACCCGACTTCTTGTCAGAACTTGACAGAAATAGAGGTTGAAAATCTTCTCTGCATTGGATGAGGTGGCTTGGGAAAGCAGCAATGGATTTTTGGGAGCATTTGGGACTCTGCCTAAATCAGAAGGTTCTTTCCACTGGCTTTGTGTTAGAAAATAAAACTGATTTGGGGAGAAAGGATTGTCTTTGAAGGACTCAGGGATGTTAATTCAGCTCTTGGCTGTGCCAGAGGTTCCCAGGGTGTTCTTGGGAAGGCTGCCTTGTCTGCCTCTGGGAGTTTTCCACTTGCACAGTCAARTGATGATTCTTCCTTCCTACCACCTTGTCCTTGTCCTTGGGAGCTGTTTGTGTGGGATCCATCCCAGAGCTCTGTTTGTACAGCATCCATTGCACTGCAGAGCTGGGAATCACAAAGCAGGACATGGAATGGATGGAGGACATGATTGGGTGGGAAGAACCTCAGTTAGGAAATATTATTTATAAAATGAACAGGCGAACCAGAAAAAAAAAAAAATTAGAATCTTTTGTACTGCACTAAGACTCTTAATTTTCAATCCTTAAGTCATTTTGGTTTCACTTTCAAACTAAAAGAGGAGAGATTTTKGTCAGAAGTTAGGAATTCTTCCCTGTGAGGGTGGTGGGGCCCTGGCTCTGGTTTCCCAGAGAAGCTGTGGCTGCCCCTGGATCCCTGGCAGTGTCCAAGGCCAGGCTGGACATTGGAGCAGCCTGGGATGGTGGGAGGTGTCCCTGCCATGGCAGGGGCTGGAATGTTTCCATTTTAAGCTTTAAGGTCCCTTCCAGCCCAAAGCAGTCTGTGCCTCTGTTAACCATAAACCTGTGTGGAACACCCCTCATTTCTGGGCTGGGTTTCCACATTATCCAAAGAACCCAAATCCTCAACCTCCTTCAAGCAACTTTCTGAGCTGGTAATTAACAACAGCAGCACCAGCAAGCCTGGGARCTTGTTCCTAACAAGCAGGAAGCACATTTTAAGTGAACAGTGAAATTTTGGGAGAGCTGTTTGAACAGATTCTCCTTCTTCATTAGAGTTATCGGAAATAACATCCTTATTTCTGCCTCTCTCACTGTTCTCCCCTACTTAGTTTCACCAGCCTAATTGGGACGGGAGCCCTTTTTCCCCTCTGAATTTCCTATCCGTGCATCCCATAGATACATTATGGTCCACAATAAATCCTGAGACACGGGGATCCAAGAGTGCCTAATGTCTGTGATCACCCAAGGCAGATTTGCTTTGTTTGTTATGGCAACTGATCAGGAAAATCTTCTTTCCAGATAATAACGTTGCCTCAGAAAGAGCAGAGGCATGATAAATCAAAAAACCTTGGCAATACAAAGGGAAAAAAAAAAAACAGTTGACCTTCTTGGATAAAGAATACAAGCCCAGGTGGGCAACTATTGCACCGAGCATGAGACAAAGCCAGTCTTTCCTGGGAGCAAAATTATGTTTGGCAGGAGAGCAAGAGAGGAGAAAAATAACAATTTTCCAGCTTTATTGGCAAAGATTACAAAGGGTCAGATCCATCATGCCTTTGTTAGACCAAGTCCATGGAGATTTCCCTTGACACAACCAGATCTATCAAAAGAGGAARGAAACACAGTTAGCAGCCAGCACTGAGGGATTCTTGTCAGGTTCCCCCAAATTACTTGGCAAATATCTTTCCTTCAATTCTAGACTTGTCCCTGGGTATTAAACATCTGCTCAATTGTAGAAATACTTGGAAGATTACTGGGAGATAAAAGTGAGAATAAAATAAAAGGTTTTCCAGTGCAGGCTGATAACGTGTGCACACATCCAGTAAAACAGATCCCCCTCCCATGGTCTGTGTCACAGCAGGGAAGAGACTCAGGTGAAATTTGTCACCTGAACCATGCTCCCACTCCTCCCTTATTCCCTGAGTTTCTTCCTACATCTGTAATTATCCATGATTTCATGATACACCATCACAGCAGAGGCTCCAGCTCTCAGGCGTTCAGCTATCACAGCAGCCATGCCATGAAAAACAGCTGCTGGCCCRAAACACCTGCAGAAGAAAATTCAGTCAGAAAAAGCTCATGAAAACCTGCAAAAATTTGGGATGGGACTCAACAGGACTGCATAAAATCTCTTGGATATTTATGTGCCTGAGAGCTTCCAGGTCAGCAGCACACCGATAAGCAAACATCAGTTTCTCTCATCAAAACTGGTGTTTAAGAGAATTTCCACGGTGGAATACTGAAGAAAGGTAAAATATCTCTTGTGGATTAGCACAGAGAACTGAGCCATGTCACTGGGAATTTGGGATGGCTGCTTGCCCAGCAGCCTTGCAAAGCAGCCCCCCTGGAAGGCTGCAGGTGCCTGGCAGGGCAGGGGCTCCCGGAGGATATCTGGTGTTGTTCCCACTGGATCCCAGCTATGGGAAGATGGGAAGAAATCAGCTCTTTCTATAGTATCCCCTCAAGGTCCTTCCTCAGAGGGTAAAAAGCTTTTGAAGCGGGATGGTGGGAGGATGAAAAGATATYTCTGGCACATCCCTGGCTGGTGAAGGAAACTGCTGGAAGGGAACCTGTTCTCCTGAAGATGCACGGACAGAAATCCCTGGAAAGAAGCAATTCTGCTGGCCCAGCCCCAGCAGCCCCGGCTGAGGCCATCCCTTCCTGCCTGCACAGGGCTGAGCCTCCCGAAGGCGCTGATAAAAAACCCCTTAACAACAGGGCTGGGAACAGGGGCATAAACAGAGCCATAAAGTGGGAGATGCTGCCGAGAGCTCCTCTGCGGAGCGGCGATAATGAGGGCACGGCTATCCCTCCTCCCGGCAGGAGGAAAGGGAAAGGATGGGTGTGTGGTCAGGGGCGAGCCCGCACCCCTGGGCCGCCCTTATCGGCCCCGGCAGAGGCAGAACGCCCCTCTGGCAGGGCTGTGCGAAACAGCCGGCACAGCGATAGCAACCGAACCAACCGAGAAATGACCCGGCAAAAGGGCTAAAAACAAAAACTTCACGGATGGCGCCTTTATTTCCTGGTCTTTTTTTTTTTTTTTTCCCCTCCAAAACCATCCTGAAGGCACCTCTGAGGGGATCTCTTTTTTGGGAGGGAAGGTCCCCCCCCTCTGTACAGCCTCCCATCACATACCACACTCTGTGTCACATATTTTTCACACTGACRGCAGGAAAGGGAAGTGTACAAAATGTCCTGAGCTCTGGGAAACCCAAATCCTTGCTCAGCAAGTGCTGATCACATCCACCCCAGCACCGTGGGAGCTGCAGGGCCTCAGAGCTCCCCCAAGGCACACACAGGTATAAAAAAGTGGGGGCTTGCCAGAGGGAGAGCTCTAAAAAGGAAAATATGGGTGGGGGCAGACAAGGGGAAAATAAAAATGAAAGGATCTGAAGGGATATAGTGGAGAAAAAAGCTGAAGAATGAGATGCTGTATTTAATTAAAGTCGAAAATGTAGCTGGAACACAAAGAAGCCACATGGCTTGCTGTCACAGGAGTAATGGAGCGCATCTGCTTTTGTCATCAACCCTGCTTATGGGGACAACACACAGAAGGACTTTAAATCTCAGGTTTTAAATATCTAATATATCTATCAATTAAAAATTAGTGCTATTCCCCCCCCCCATAAAAGGCATATGACAATGACAGCGGATGGGTTTAGATTGGATGTTGGGCAGAAATTTTTCCTGTGAGGATGGTGAGACCCTGGCACAGGGTGCCCGGAGAAGCTGTGGCTGTCCCTGGATCCTTGGCAGTGTCCAAGGCCAGGCTGGACAGGGGTTGGAGCACCCTGGGACAGTGGAAGGTATCCCTGCCCATGGCTGGGGGTGGGATGAGATGGGATGGGATGATTTTTAAGGTCCCTTCCAACCCAAACCTCTGTGTGATTCCATGACCCTGTGGTTGCATGTTAAAAATGAAGGATCAGACCCAGCACAGCTCTGTGTATAAAAAATTCCACAGCACTTTGCAAGGACAGACTTGTCAGGTTGTGAGGCAGTACTGAATTCATACTGAGTCGGGATCACAGGAGTGCCAGAGCAGTGAAATGGTTAAAAATGGGAAARGCTGTGGAACAMGTACAAAAATAACAGCAMYACAAGCAGTTGTGGGAGTGRGAGAYTCGCAGGTGCCTGGCTGAAGGCAATCCTTGCCTCAATCCTGGCAAAAGGTGACTCTGCTGATCAAAATAATTATGGAGGTGAAAGTTTATTGTCAGCATAGAGAAAGAAAATGCCACAAAAATCGCAGCCAGCGGAGCAGAGCTGGTTTTAGAGGGAGTAGTGAGAGAAAAGCMGTGTCGCTTCAGATCAGGATGAAGCTGCATCATTCAGATATGCAGATTTTTACAGTTTATGGGGGAAAAAAATAAGGAAGAATGGGGTTTCAAAGAGCTTGTTATTTTCCTTGATGCTATAAAGGCATTTTATTTAGAAGGAGCTATTAGAGAATGCAGCACAAACGATAGAGCAATTCAGATCAGCACATTGGGAGGACAAATGTTGGGAACTCCTGCAGTGCTGAAGGAATTGGGGAAAATTAAGCAACTGGTTCAATGCAAGCCTTGTCTGAAACAAAGAACCAGGAATGTTCCAGCATTTCCATCATGCACTTCCCATGGACATTAGGGTGGTAAAYGAGTGGGAGCATGTGACAAAGGAAGATCTAAACTTCACATTATGCAAATGGCATTGCAGAATTGCCAGATACATGAGGTAAAGTCGGTTCTCTTCACTAACTGGCAAAATTGCTGCAATCATCTTGAGGTTCARAATCTGCTGGGAAGACAAAGTGTTTCTGCCTTGAAAAGAAGAGAGATTTTTGTGTAAATATGCCCGGGGAGTTTAATCGGTGCTGAGGAAAAGGAGGGGGAAAATACAAAGATTTGCTTAGCCAAGAAAACATGAAAGCATCAATGTGCTGAGAGGGAGCACTCACAATCCGTAGGCTCCCRTTAAGGACACCCTATACACATCGATTTCATCTTTAAGGAACACCAAAGACACTCCTGCACACACACGGGGCTGAATGGATCCCCATCCCCATSGCTGGACCTTCCTGATGGGAATAGGACTGCCATGAATTTGTCAAAGCTCTGGACAAGGGTGTTACACAACTCCTGTGCCTGCAGAAGAAATGAAAAAAAAAAAAAAAAACAAAAAAAAAAAAAAAAAAAAAAAAAAAAAAAAAAAAAAAAAAAAAAAAAAGCCAGGAAAGAAGACATATTAAAGCCTCTACCTTGGCCAAATTCCAACTCAATTAATTACAATCCGCCTTTTAAAATTCCCCCCGAAGTTTCAGCTGGATAATACATCGTGCCATGCATGCCCTGCGAGGCTGGAGGAGGCAGAGCCCACCACTGGATACCACGGGTGCTGCCCACTGCCCCAGTGTCGGGACTGGGGAGGCCCTGGGACCCTGGAAAATGGGAAGTATTCGGCAGAGCGACGATGATGAAACCACAGAAAACCAGCAGCAGTCAGTTTGCTATAAATCTTCCTGCTGGGCAATTTATTTTTTTGGTAAATGCGCTCCTGAAACCTYGCTTCTGCCTCCTAGTGGGGAAAAGACAGGAGAGAGAACTGCTGAAGGGAAAATTAGCTTTGGGTTCTTCAACATCATTATTAGCAAGACTCAAGCAGAAATTTTATATTTTTTTCACCTGTAATAATGATTATTGTGTTCAATTCTCACCCTGACCCCACTGATTATAAGGGTACAAACCCCTCAGGAAACTGCGCTCTAAATGGGAAGGACAAAGTGCAGCAGCCACGGCACTGAAGGGCTCCGTGGATTTTTTTATTCGCTGCAGAAGTTCCAGTCGTGATCTTGGAATTATGGAATGGATTGGGCTGAAGGGATCTCAAAMAACACCTTGTTCCAACCCCCTGCCCTGGGCAGGAACACYTCCCACTGTCCAGGCTGGCCTTGGATATTCCCAGGGATGGGGCAGCCACAGCTTCTCTGGGCATCCTGCTCCACTTTTAGACAAAACTATTAATAGGATKATGAATTTTACAAACAATTAAAAAGTTTTATCAGGACCGAGTTAATAGAATGGCATTGCTTACTCATCCTTAGATTATGCAATCCAGACCTTCTCCTAAAAAAACTGAAACAAAAGCTTTGTCTTTCAGGGCAAACACTTCCAAGGTTATCTTTTCCTAGCGGCCGTCCCGATGCGCTGTTGGCCACTAGGGATGGAGACACTCCATGGCACATCACCTGCTGGGAATAATCATGGGAAAACGCCCCAAAATCGAGGATTGCACTCATTCTTTCATCACACTCTTCCTCAACAGAAGAAGCCAGATTTGAGATGTCTCCCTGYTCCTCCTTCAAGTCGCTGTGAGTGTCCCGTGTCCCTCAGATAAATCCTGGAACTCAAGAGACGAGCAGAAAATGGGGCTTTAAAGCAGTTCTTGAACGCTCTCTAGTGGTTAAAGAGCAACTAAAGCTAATGGCACCTTCCATCACCTTCCCAATTTTAATTGGTAATCACTCACAGTGATTCATACCTCTCAGAGATAAAAAGATTTTAAAACTAAGGTTATCGTTATTGCTTTAATTATGATAAGATTTTATTACAATTTATTCTTAGGGACTGGAGTTGTGTTTTTCACTATGCAGAGTGCAGAGACAGTTTAACATCACTCCTATACATCAAAATAACATTTATCTTTTTGACCAACTAASGATTTTCATCCAAACTCTGTGATTTCTCACTGAAAATTTGTCTTATCCACAAATATGAWTATTTTCATGTCTATTTTCTCACCTATTTCAGGATTCCTGATTTCCAGAGTGGCCACTCAAGGTCCTTGCAGAAGCCCTGATTGTAAGAAAATGCTAATTTTTTATTTCACAGCAGAAAACAAAGTTGAGAAAGAACTGGGTGACCCAGTTATGGAAATCTGGCAGCTCCCAGACCAAAGGACAGATTAAAGCAAGGGACATACCACAGACAGTGATGACAAAATCCTGCTGTTGGGTTGGAATAATTAATAGATCACAAGCCCATGTCCACGGGAATATTTGCATGGAGCATWATTTACATACCTTTTCACAGTTTAATTGCAACCTGTCTAGCAAAAACAAACACCCTGCTTCACTGACACACATAATTTGAATGTTTTTTTTWTTCTTTTTGTCTGCTMTCTGTTTATAGAAGCCTGTGCCTTCTTGCTTGCCTGCCTTTCTCCTCCTCATCATCATCAGTTCAAACACCAGGCTGTTCTTCAAGCAGACTGAAACAACCTAGGAAATTGCTCCAGTAACAATCCTACACAAAAAAATCCTGGGGCTGTAATGATTGTATCCCCAATATTTATTCCAAATCCCACATTTTTTCAGCTCTTCAGGTCTACCAAGCCCTTCTGTCCCCAAACAGAAGCAGAGAGAAAAATGCCAGTGATGGTCTGTGAGCARTTGATGTAAAGCACCTCCCAAACTTCATGTTTGCCAGGCAAACTTTCTGTTAGCCAGCAAATTGTGCTCTCTGCTAACTTTTCCCAGCCCGACAACAATTTCTTGGTTATTAAGTCATTAAAATATAGCATAATTAATTTTACTTTCTAATTAGATAATTGTTCTACCATTGCAGTTCTCAGAGTGCAACGTGTTATTATTGCAATGTGTCAGTTACTAACGTCAATGACTCAAATTACACTTTGTTTCGGGTTGTTTTGGGTTTTTTTTTTAAACTTTAAATCTTTCATTGCTCCTCAGCAAGRTGTGCTACAGCTTTCTCAGGGAAAGCTGTTCCCAAATTTCTCATTCCTCTGCTGCAGTAGGGTCTTACCCTGTGTGTTTGCAGATGTCTGATGAATAATTCCAGAGCTCCTGAAACACATTTATAATCCACTCTTCACTGGCGTACTGGGGAATAAAACTGCCCAGTGGACTTGAAGTTTGGATTTCAAGTAAAAAACTATTGAAGCACAGGCAAAAATTWGGAATAAATCTGAATTTATGTAGGTGATCTCCTTATCTGTTTTTACATTATTTTTATGGCTTGGGGGATTGTGCTTTGTTTGGCCTTTTTTGTCCATTTGGAGCTTTTTTCATGCAGAAGAAACTGCATTTTTTTTTTTTTTGTGGAAGTTCTAGTGGCAGAATTCTTTAGTTCAGCTTCCCTGGGACAGATACAGCCTTGAGGAACACACAAATATGTTTCCTCTGAGAATGCTGAGCATACAGGAAGAAAAAGGGCTGCAGTGCCAGTGGCACTCCTGAATACAGCAGGAAGGCAGCTGTCACCCCAAGAGATTTGGAAATCCTTGTTCAAAGCAACCATTAACTGTTCTTTAGGGTTTGCAATTAGTTTTCCTCAAAACAGCCCAGCTGAGCCTCAAATGCTGACTCGAGTGTGAGAATTATCAACCCTTCCTTGCTCTCCTCTGGGCTGGAGCTATTTTATACTGCAGGGGTAAGGGTTTTCTTCATTCTTCATGCAAGTGTTTACTGTGAGAAGTAATTCTCTTCACTGGGAGGAAATGGCATCTCTGTTATTTCCTAAATGGCAGATAGGTAGACTCTACCTCACAGATAGACAGGAAAGTACTTAAATATCATCAATACTTTATGAGCCTAAAAATAAACCCCACTCATATGAGAAACCCTCTGAGCATCTGAAAGACAGGAGCTTTGTGCTTGAAAATGACAAAAAGGAAATGACAAAACATSCTGTGATTTTGTTTCCTTTTGCTCTGTGGTTACATTATAAAAAYTGTACAGTGGAATTGGAAGGTGCAGCCTGTACCTGCCCCTTATTGAGGGTTGCTTACTTCCAGCTCTTTTAGCCAAGCACACTTTTGTTCTCCACATAAGAATATTTTGTRTAAGAGGTTATAAGTATTTCCTGTCCCTCTCTGACCTGGCAAACAGACGTTAGGTTAAGAAATATAAATTATATAATAGAGTCTGAGCTAAGCAGGTCAGTGTAAACAACCACACAAGTCAGACTGCAGAGAGATATCCCCTCACCTCAGTTGTTTCTGGGAGAAACTTTGCCATTTGAAAGCTCTTAGTAAGTGTGTTTCAACCAGGAAACAAAAAGCAACAACTTGAGGTGGCCACTTGSAAATTAAGGGTAATGGGGTCTCCTYAAATTAATTTAGAGCTGCTCTACTTTTACTCATTAAACAGCMCAAGTGATTGGGAAATAGAGGAGGYAACAGGCAACATGGATTTGCCACAACCAAACTGTRCCAGACTATTTCATTTCCTTCCACAGATGGACAGAGAAGCAGAGGAAAATCAGAGGAAAATCTCCTGACTTTAATAAGGTTTCTAATGCTCTCTCACGCACCTCAGAAGCAGCCTGAGAAATCATGACCCAAATGAAAATCACAGTAAAGGGTGTGCAAAGCAGTCTAGGTAAAGAAAAATTTCCAGTGATTCCCTGTCAACAGGACTGGAGGTGTAACAAGCAAGGAATTTGTCCTATATCAGCATTATGGATTCCCTAAAATAGCCAGTCATCCTTCAYCTAAAGTTACTTTCAATTTCACTCCTCTACCTTTCTCATGTATGTGATGTGCAGGAAGATTCTAACATTAGAGAGTTTGATTGGCAATTTTCAGGCGTCGTGACCATGAATCAATTAGGAATATAACTGGGAAAACCCATTGTTTTTTTAATGACTGTGCCTGACCAAATCTGCTGAAGAGATGAAGGGCTCAGGCACAGGTTTACTGGGGGGATAAAAGGGCAGGCATTGGATCTGCTCATTTGTCAAGAACTATTTGGAYTCCTCCATTCATAGAAAGAGTCCTAGAAATAAAGATAAAATTATTGTATTCACAGAAATAAAGGTAAAAAGTTGGTACTAGCACATCATGAGTCCCATGCTACCCATTCCTTCCACAGTAAAACCCAGCCCTTGCTGCTCCCTGACAGCATCTTTGCCCATCAATTATTGATTTTTATGATACATTTCAGCATTGCATTGAATATCCTTTCAGTAAGAGCCWTTTTTTTTACCCCACAGTTACACAGCACATCCCTTCGAGGGAAAAAAAAAAGTAATTATTTTTGAGGTGATTAAAAGTTTGGGATGACAACCTCTGTAGATGTTCTCCAGAAGCACAGCTCTAAGACACTCTAAGACTATGATAAGCCTAAATTTGACTTACAGCCTCATGATACTCYCCTTTAAATGGCTGTGATATACTAAAATTGCTGAAAAAAATGCCCCTAATTGAACAGAATATTGTTATTTAAGAAGATGCTTTGGTTGGGCTGCAGCATCTGTCACAACACCACTCAATATTTTCCTCAGCGSTAAGAAAATAAGGACAGGATTACCTGATCTAATTTACAAATACAAAAAGATACATGAAAAAGTAAATTAGAGGGAGGACAGGCATAAACATACCAGAGAGTGTGGTAAGCTGGGCCCATCCAAATAGCTAAGTTAGGCAAATATAAAGCCCTGGGCAGTTTTGAGCTGCTTTTCAGAGCTGAGACTTCTTTGGCATGTGTGACCAACCTCCCCCATTCCTRTGCCAAGGCTCTGTCCATAAACTAAGGCTTCATCTGCTTTGCATAAAGTTTGTGGAGCAAAGGAGCATCCCAGCCTGGTTCTGCAGCTGGAGACTTCAGCAAACAATTGCTTCATGGAAAGGTCGAAGAACTGAAAAAGAAATACCTTTCATAATGATTTCCCATCGATGGCTGTGTAGGTGAATCTATCATTTAGTAGCATTTAATCAATTTTTTGCTGTACTGGATTGGAATTATGCTAGTTTTGATTAAACATACCATTAGACTGCATTTAATCTCCTTAGAATTCAAATACCTTCGGAATTTTCTATTGACTTTTCYCCTAAAACATCAATGTTTAAAATTTCTGATAAAAACCTAGTCTTTTAATCTTATTCAAATGAAAARCATACCATGAGCTTTCAATCCCTTATTCAGAGAAGTTTATTTTGTCTGAGTCTCATTTCAGTATGAAAGTTAGCCAGCCTGTGGGCTTAGATAGAATGGGAATTTCTCTCCTTTAAGCAAATTCTTGTGGGAAAAGGAAACATAAATAAAAACTAAGTGGTACCTTTCTAAAACAGCCTGATAAGCAACCTGGAACCCCAGCTTTTGAAATGTGCAGACTGGGCCCCTCTCAAAACCTAATAACCATAATCCCTGTATAACAAATCTCGGAAATGGAAATAGAGGTTGGTACTTCCCATTTTCTRTGCACCAGCAGTGGAATGGGATCTGCTTTTCAACTTAAGCTGTGGTTATCTCMAGAACATGACAGAACATTGGCAATATTGAAATCCTGTAACATTCCATTAGCTCAGGCAGGGAACTGCTTGATGAATAGACTTGTGATAATGTTCAAGAAGGAAACTTTATTTTAGTCTTATGAAGCCTAATTTAAAAAAAAACCCAAACGATCCAACACATTAAAAATGGAAGTTACTAATTATATTTATTTCATTCTATTGTTAAGAGTAATTCTGAGTATGAACAGGGAGTARGGGTGGCAATGAAGGAGAGAACAGGGCATGGGTCAGAGTTCCTGATTTGGGGAAGCAGGGTGGGAAAGCTGGTGAGCTTTCCCCAGAGGGAGTGGCAAGGCTTGGCTTGGTCAAAAACCCCCGAGCAAAGGGGAGCAAAGTGAGCAAAAGGGAAGAAATCTGAAATGGGAAGGGTTGGCAATGGGATTTCCCTCATCTTGAGCACTTCTGTGTTCTGAAGGCTCACATTTGTGGAAATGCTTCTGCTCAGGGGACTTTCTCTCCTCTCTGGCCTTGCTACAGTGAATAAATGTGATGACACCAAAACCAGCAGCTCCAGAGCTGACCTTCATTTACAAAGCTCCCAAACATGAAATGCAGGTATACTTATCTCTAAGAAATGTAAATGTTGAGACCCACATGCTAATTTTAAGTTTGTCATGCTGGAAGTTGCCAGGACGGAGTTTACTCACAGCTCAGTAACACTTCCTCGAAGCAAAGGTCTCAGCTCTTATTGATGGTCGGGAATTCTGCGGGGTTTTCTCGGCCAGGAGTTGATGACCAATATTGTTGGCACAGAAGGATGAGGAATYTGTGGCCCCAGTTTCTACAGGAATGGGGTGAAAGAAGTAGATTAATAATTCACAGCATGACCTGCCTGAAATTATGAGCACGTTAAGTATTAAGAGGTATTTCAGGAGCTGAGATAGACTGCRTAATCTCATGCAATAACTGCTCTCAAGAGCAGCATTTTAACTTCTTTTATTTTTGAGACCATGAACATTTGCTACTCTGTGTTTCACTTTTCCATGAAGGATAAACCATCTCCCATTGGTGGGAAAGATCAGGGCTTTATTAATACATCATATATTCTTAATTTATTGTTGCCATTTCTCCCATTAGCTCTGACTTTTCTTTTATTGAAGATTTATTTTTAGCTCTTCAGCAAGACAAGTTTTGACTCTCTAAAACTCTATCAGAGTTTGGCTCAAAAATTTGCCTAAGCTGTGCCCAGAGCTTATGRAAAATTGCAATGGCARTGTGAGGAAAAAGGAGAAAYGAAGATGAATGGATGACACAATTCMATRTCATTTTAAACCATTACATTTTGTGTTCAAAAAGACTCCAGTGCTTCACATGTTGACAGAAAAGCTGCATTTTGCTTGGGAAAAAAGGTCATTCCAATGCCCGTGTATGGGGCTTGGAGAAATAAATCCACAGAAATTAAATCGTGTAAATACAATGGTATTAACAAAATACAATGGTATTACCAAAATCTTTTTGGAGAACAGTGAAAAGGACTTCCAATATATGAAGATTTTGTTTTATACTTCAGTTATTCRACTGAATTAATTGGGATGGGTAATTTATGACACATCCCATAACCTGTTATGCAAAATGAGGTGATTTGTAAAGCAAATCTCTAATATAAAATGGCAAAGAATTGAGCTGTTCCAGAAAATGCAGGAATACATGGAAAGCAGAAGCAAAAGGAGCAATAGTTACAGATGGGATGGAGGAAAAAAATGTGATCATTGCGAAACCAGTTTCTTGCTGGATTATCAATTGGGTTAACTTCTGGGGAGTAGGGACCAGGATGGAAACAAGGGCAAGGATTTGGTGAGGAAGGGCCATGAGACATTTCCCTTTTTGGAGCCACTGCCCCAGTTGTTCAAGAATTGAGCTTTTTCCTTTTCAATGTCATTGATTGTGGATCCACAAATAAAGAGATCGAAGAAAAAAATCGGTTTGAAAAACAATGGTGCAAACAGAGTCTTAAACTGCTATTACAAACAGAAATCCCAGTGTCAATRTGCAAACAGTGTGAACTGGATTTTMAGGRATTTMTATTCCCRAAGTCTTCCATCCATTAACTCCAGAAGGACAACTCAAYAAATACAAAATCCCATCCCATTTAGCTCCCAACCTGCTGAAGGCAGTGGCCTTTCATTTTCCAGTTGTACCACCAGCTAAGCAGGTGGGGTATTCATCCAAAAATTTCCTTTGCCTCACAGAACCCCCGCTAATTATTACAGTGCAATGTCTTTAAACTAATATTGAAATTATGAACTGCTACCGTGGAAGTAAAGGTTTGCTGAAAGCTGGCTAGACACGGGGCAGCTTCTTGTGACTGAAATGTGTAGGACTAAAATATGTTACGTGGGGATTGTAAGGATATACAAGGWTTGTATCTGGAGACGCAAATCCCACCCTGCAAGACAAACGAARCAACGGCTCCCGGCGACTGAACTGCGGTTGAGGGCTCCATGACAGCCGTGCTGTGTTTCCATGGTGTAGGGCACAGCAAACGCGTTTTGGAGGCCACTGTCGSCGGGCAATGGGGGCGGAGGGGGATGAGGGGCGCCCGGGGACACCCCACCATTGTGTCTGGCGCTGAGGCGTTCTCCGCGCGCCTGAAGGACCCCCCGCGCCGCGCCTCCTCCGCCCGGCCAGTGCTGCAGCTGCCGCCGCGGGCTCAGGCGTTCTCCGCGGGCACCCGCCGCCTGGCCAGGCCCCYGCGCGCTCCCGGGCCGCCTCGCCTCTACGCGCCGGCGTGCGCGCCGCCGCTCCCTCTCTCTCTCTCTCTCCCGTGGTAGCAGGAGCAGCGCGGGCGGCGGGGCCGGAGCGTGGCTGAGGCGGCCATTCCTACCGAGCGAGAGAGAGCGCAGCGTGTCCCCTGCCCGGGCTCAGTCGCGCACAGGGTGAGGAGGGCGGCGCGRCCCCTCCGGACACAGCGAGCGGGGCGGGGGGGGAAGGAGAGCGTGAAAGGAAAATGACCGTTGGGCGCGAGGCGGCCGCCCCGCGCGGTCACGTGACCGCCGCCCCGCGCGCGCGGAGGGAGGGGCGGCTGTGGGGGGGGGGGGGGGGTCCCGTCGTCGGGGGCGCGCGCGTCGGGGCAGGTGCGGCTCGTGCGCGCGCGGCCGCGTGCGCGCTCCCGCGCGTCCCCGCCGCCCGCGCTCCCCCCGTGACGCGCCCGCCGCTCTCTCCGCTCTCTTGTCTCTCTCCTGCCCTCCCTCCCTCCTTCACAGAGATGCCCTCGGCTACCAACAGCACCATGGCGAGCAGCACCACCGGCAGCAGCACCGCCAAAGCGGGACCGGGCAGCGAGGCTGCCCCGGCGGCGGCGGCCCCGCAGGCGGCGGCGGGTGTGAACATCACCACGGTGCAGACCGAGGCCATGAAGCAGATCCTGGGGGTGATCGACAAGAAGCTGCGCAACCTGGAGAAGAAGAAGGTGATCCTCGTGTCCCCTCAGACCCCCACCCACCYCGGGTGCCCACCCGTCTTGCCTCTCGCCTTCCGGCCTCCCCTGCCCCCGAGTCGGTCCGGCCTGCTCGGCTCCCTTGTTCCGTGCCCTCCCGAGCCCTCCCSGGTTGTTCCCGGCGTGGCCCCCAGAGGCCGCCCGCTGGAAGGTTCCAGAAGGGCGAGCGCCGCTCCCCCGGCCTGTCCCCTTCCCCTCCCGGGGGTCCCCTTGCCCCATCCCCGGCCGCCCTCCCGTCGTTCGGAAACCGGCCCGGTTTAGCCCGGCCCGCGGTGCAGAGCCCGGAGGGGTCGCTGCTGCCGCCCGCACCCCTCGCCCCCGCTGTCCGGAGCCCCCTCGGCGGCGCCGCTCCCTTCCCCTTCCCCCTCCTTCCGCCTTTTGTTCCCCGCGGCGGGGCCTTTCCCAGCCGCGCCATCCCGGGGATCGGCTCCCCGCATCCCCGCTCCGTGCGGTGGCCGGAATGTTTTCGGTGGCCGTGCCCGGAGGTGCGGGCAGGCAGGCAGGCAGARRCTGCGGTGCCCCCGGCGCCGGGCGCATGGACGCGGAGCTGTAACATGGCGGCGCCCCGGCCTCCCCGGCGGAGCTCATTGTGCCGCCTGCACAAAGCCGGGGCCACCCCACCCCGCCCCGGTGTCACCGCTCGCTTTCCATCGCCCTAAGCTCAACTCTCTGGGAGCCCGAGCCCAGCTGGAAGCGGCMTTTCAGGGGTTATTTTTAGAAAGAGCAGCTACTAAATCCGTGGTGCTCGGACCTTTCGAGTCGTGGCACAAGAGGAAAAGGGTGTTACGGTTACTCGCGGTGTGTTTTGCACCCTYGCGGTGGTGGCAGATTAAATGAGCTTCACAGGGCATTGCAACCTACAGAGCATGAAGTGTCCATCAGTAAAAGAACTAACACATAGCCTCAAGACTTCCCTTAAAACACCACATTGCTAAGCTAAAATGAGGGATTACTGAAAAATAATTTTATGTTTCGTGTCAAAGCCCTAAATCTGTTTTTATTTTTAGACGTGAATAAGCACAATAACTGTTYTATTAATATTTTGAGCTAGCACTTTTGATTGTATTCATAGTATTCCATATAAGGCGGAAATATTAGCAGTAAATTAGTCTGTACAGGTGAGTTGTAAATGAAAGAAGCTGTGTTTTACCTGTAAACAATACATTGTGTATCCATAGTACTCTGTATAAACATGCTTTGTACARTGTAGCTTTCCACTTAAAAAATGGGTGTGGGATTTTCCTGGATTTTCTAAATTAAATGGCAAAAAGCAGCAAGCCAGGACCTTTTAGGTAAGTTTTAGAATCASGATCTTTTCCTTCGTGTCTGTTGTGTGTAGACAGGACAAGATGTCTGTCTTAATTTTGTCATTAATGCACAGCAATATGTGGTCCTTAATATGTGGACCACAATAGTCCTTAACTCAAGAAAGAGAGCAGATCTTAGTTGTTCTAATACAAAGAAAGGTTTGAAATGTAACTGTGGTACCTAATATATACAAAAATACTTTGAAAATATTTTTTACTATGTTAAAAGTCAAAATTACCAGGTGAACGATCTGACCTGTTCTGTACTTGGAAGTAATCAAGAGGATAAAGCTCAGTATTACTGGTGTGAGGGTCAGCTTTCTTCGGGAGCAGTATTTTAATTTACCTTTAAAAGTAAATCATTTACACCTAATTTACACTTACCTTAGCCATTGCATTCTATTTGAGTGGAATTTTAGTCAACTGTGATCCTCCAAGTGAGTAGAGGGGACAAAGTGCCCCTTTTTTCTGGAAAGAGCTTTTGTTGGAAGATGTTCCATGAAGATTACTGAAAGCATTAATTTTTTGAGTACTGTGTGTTAGACAGTATGGGCTCAAAGAAAAGGCCAGGGCTGGGACTTGAAAAGGAAAAGCTATGTGTGTCAAAGATTCATAAGTCTTGATGGGCTGAAGTTCTAAAACTTCTTGAAGGAGGACTCACAAGCACTACAGAAGTCAGGAGAGAAATGGTTCTTGGTGTATTAAAGCAGAATAACTCATTTGTGGGYTTGAGCCTCTCCCTTGGTGGGGTAGTCAGGAGTTCTTTAGTAAACCAGTGCTCTTTAATAGAGCATTGCATGCTTYGTGTATTAAAACAAAGCTCATTGTGCCCATCAGTATTTCCTTACCTTTTGTATCTTTGAACAAGAATATATTTTAAATTTTTCCAACCATCAGAAGGTAAAATTGTGCTGGATGCTGCACTGACAGGAATGGGTGAGAAATGCAGTAAATCTCACTGGGAGCTTGTGCTTGGTTGGACAGTTAATCCTTTCTTTGTCAGCAGCTGGTAACGAAGGCCAGTAGAGATGATTTTCAGAGCTTTGTGTTACTGAATGAATACAAAAATACTTAAACACATGTTTCTGAAGGATGAGAAATGATTGCTCTGTAAGAGGTACTGTCTTAGGTTTTAAATAAAATGAGCTTTTAGTAGAGGAAAGATCACTCTTCCTGAAGAAATTTCAATTTTTTGAGTAAATTTAATGTCATGTTTACCTCTACAAGCAGAAGATCAAATGATAAGACCACCAAAATACAAATTCAAATAATACTTATAACTCAGGTCTATACTATTTTGAAGATTTCTGTATAAACTAGAAATACTAGATTATTAGCTAAACTTTCACTTTCTTTTCCTAAATGTGACCTCATTTGAAAGTATGAGTATTAGTTGTGTTAAGAGGGACTAGGATAAAATTAATTGCTGTTCAGAAATGGATGTGAAAACATGGCCTGAAAATGTCTGTGTTCCCCTCATCTCTTTATATTTGGAAATTATAGGAATGCTTAGATGAGAAGATACTTGTATGTGCATGGAAGGGGGTAATTAAAGGGGTATTTTCTCTACAGGACCTTCAGACATGCAACTCCAGTATATTTTGACAAGCTTAGTTAATTTAAAAGTTGTCTGGRCTCCTCCAGGTGTTCATTGGGTGTCTGAAGTTAGAATCCTGCCAGCTCTGCGTGTTTGCTAGGAGAAGATATTTCACCTTCAATTTTTTCTCCTTGGCTCTTCTGTTTCTTGTTTTTAGGGGGCAAAACGTTTCCAAATTTTAAGCCAATTGAATGTAGATCAAACTCTAGTTTTGTTTCAGTGCTAAAGGAAAAAAACACAGTTATTTTTGCTTTCAACTTGTGTAATAGAGCATGAGCTATGTAAGAACGTTTATCWAACAAATGTTCTGCCAGAGGGCCCAAATAATTAATTTGCTATCACGTGGGTTAGGGGATGGGCCGATGGTTGCAAGGTGAGCATGTGAGCTTAAAAACTTGATGTGAGCTTGGTGTCTAGAGTTGGAAAGATAGCACATGTTGCCTGTGCCTGGTAACTTGAGCTTGCTGTCACTTTATCAGCTTGTCTGAATTTCCTACTGAGTGTAACCCTGGCTGGGTGCAAAATGAGGAGCTAACAAGTGCTGCYATCCTTGCTACCCAAGAACTCTCACAGARGAGCAGATGGACATTTGAAGTTGATCTGACTTGSTTCAGTATATTGTTGAATTTCCCAGGGCAAACAGGAACCTATAGGAAAAGCTGGGCTCAGTTTTCCATTCTTGTAGGTGTAGTCAGCTGTAGGGGGAAGTTTGAAGCTGCCCATTGGTAGTGGCTCCCCAAATGCTTTTGACCATTATTTGGGCCACTTGGATGTTCCAGGCTTGTGACTGTCCAGAATCTCTCCTTGTGAGGCTTTGTTTGAAAGTTATCTTTGGAGATCTAACATGATTGTGGACGAAATGGTAAAATTCATTTCAGTCGGTATTAAAAGCCTGAACCTTTGTTTGAAACCTCTTTGGGTTGCAATTTTGTATATCAAGCTTCATGTTTGAAGCACCAAGCAGTTTGTTTATCTGTGAAATCATGTGGTGGTTGGTGCTTTGAGGTTTCAGTGTGATTTGTTTTGGTTTTAACTGGTTATTGTAGAATAGGGCTTGTCTCAGTGAGTTACACATGGTGAGTCCAAGAAGCTGTGAAACATTTTCTGGTTTAAATTTTTCAGATGCTGCTTTGGGTGTTGGTTGATGGTTTTTCTTTCAGAAGAAAAAGACACAGAGAATGTGGTGGGGGAGCTCAGTTTGTGTTCTGCAGCCCAGTTGGTGTTCTAGAACTCACTTGTAAAAGTAACTTTTTTGAGCATAAATTATGTGTAGCACAAAATATAGGTCTCCTGCAGTGTACCCAACTTCCCTGTAAATTCAGTCTTTCTGTAGGAAATCCAAGTGCTAATGATTTGGAAAGAACTTCTCTGTGCCGCCC